TCTCTCTCTCTCTCTCTCTCTCTCTCTCTCTCTCTCTCTCTCTCTCTCTCTCTCTCTGTGTGTGTGTTACATGCTGCGCGTGCACACGCAGGCCATTTTGCAGGTCTGCGCCCGTTGAGGCTAAAAGCCTGAACTTCAGGCCGAAAGCCTGAATTTCAGGCCGAAAGCCTGAAATCCAGGGCTTACAGGCCCCCTGTCGGTTCAGGCCGAAAGCCTGAATTCCATGGCCTGTCCTTGTGTCGCTTCAGACTAAAAATGGCAACAGCATTTTTAGCCTGAAACGAAGGGCCGTTTTCGGTCGTTCATCAGAACGACCGACCCTAAAACTCAGGCACCAAACGAGGGTTTCGGGAACAGACTATTGATAGTTTGTTTCCCATGCCAGCCTCAAGCAGGCTGCTGCACGCCAGCCCCTGGCACACTTCGGCATTGGAAAGAGCTGCCTCCTCGGCCTGACTGGCCTCCAGTAGTCAAGAGGTAGGCCGAGGTAGTACATAGGACTTCCCAGGCACTTCTGAGGCAGGCAGTCGGCAGTTGTAGTCTTCAGGATTCGGGAGAAGCACTCTGGAGGGAGCGCTTCAGTGTAGTAGTAGTAGCGTTAGCTTGTAGTCTTCAGCGCTGGGTGCAGTAGGTAGCTGTAGTCTCAAGCGCTGGGCGCCATAGCTAGGTAGTACTAGAGAGAGAGAGAGAGCTTGGGCGGAGGCCAGTGGTACCTACCTGCAGCGCCGTTGCTCCAGCTTCGTCTTCGAGGTACCTGCAGCAYARYRCCAACATCAMAGGTTAGTATCTGGTTCGTRACAGARAGAGAGAGAGAACTCTTCTTCTTCTTCTTCTCAGTCCACCATCTCTTCTCTCCCTCTCAACTTCTGACTTCACTGCATCTGCAGACTATGAGAGAAGAGACACGGAGCTTGGTGACATTTAACCCAGACTCGACTTTTGGGGGTTCAGACATGGCAACGAGGGAYTATTTGGGATTGGTGACCAAGACTTGGTGTTAACGACATTCCCAYCCTCCTCCSTCCTTTCGTYTGATYCTTATCTTTTCGTCTGTGTAYGTCTGGACCTGGCGCTTTCTTCCTRTGTACAACGCCAGGCTCCTTCACACTCGGTGATGGATACCATGCATGTTTAGTCTKAGTTCAAACATTGATTGGGCTAGTTAGTAGTACTCTAGCATTCTGCTTCGCTACCCTGAACTACGTGAATGAGGTCAGTCCTGTCAGGTCAGTCTTTGAATCAAAGTCTTCCCTGCGCTATTCAGCACCTTTTGTATGTGTGAGAATGCACATTGTCTGTTGAGACTCTACTCGCACTGTATTGTCCGTTCAGTCCTTTTCATCACATTGCAGTTCCTCGGTTATTACGTACATTGCCTATCTGTGCATGTAACAGTTGGTATCGGAGCTTTGCACGTGAATCAGGACAACCTGATTTGACACGTGTGCGGGGACTAAAAAGCTAGTTAGTCTTTTCTGTTTGATTAGGACGTACTAGTTAGACCCCAAAATCACGATTTTGACCTTACTACCGAAAATCAATTTTTTTTTCTTTTCTCGGATTTTATTTTCTCGCTATTCTGCTGTGGAAAATCGCTATATCGCAACATCTGAAATTCCTATTTTCGTTTTTTTCTTTCTGAAAATCCGAAATTTCGCTGTTGAAAATCCGGAATATTTTTCGTTTCGAAAGTTTCGATTTCCTGTTGCATTTCCCGTTACTTAGAAATTCGGAATATTTTCTTCTCTGAAATTCGTTTTTCTAAAAACGGTGCGGGAAATACCTCCTGCGTTACTATTTTTCAAACTGCGAATCGGAATAAAATCCGAATACGTGTCACTTATGTTCGGAATTTTTTTCGCAGTTGTAGGATTCTGTCATTCAGTTTGGTAAATCATTTGTAGTCTAAAGTCGAATTTTCTTTCGCTTTTAGTGATCATTTCGTACTTCAGGGGAGATTGGGAGGCCTACCGAACTTGCAAAAAATCAGGATTTTTATTTTTTTTTTTTCTCGAAATTTTTTTGCAAAGTTCGAACTTTTCTGTTTTGATTAGTGGCTCCTTATCTAAGTGTGAGTTGGGCGATTATCCCACCCACCCCTTCCCACCTATGTTGTTGCCATCTCTCGCCTTTCCGTTTC